CCCCTTCCCGTCCCGTCCCGTCCCACGCACTGAGTGGGGTCCCCTTCCTGCCGAGGGGAGCGCTGGGCAGCTCAGAGCTCGCTGCTTGCGCTACTTTGTTTCTTAGGTTTATTTGTGTTCATCTGAAAGGCTGAGGGGGAGAGAGCTTCCGGGCACGGGTCACTCCCCAGCGCTGGAGCCGCCGGGGCTCGGCCGGCAGCCGAGGGCAGGGCCGGGGATCCAGCTCCGGGCTCAGGGTACCCGTGGCCGGAAGCTGGGTGGCAGCAGAGGTGGCACTGGACTGCGGGCACCGACGCGGAACGCGGCTGCGCCCTGCCGCGGCCCTGCCCGTGGGCGTGCCCCTCCCACGGCAGGGAGCCGTGACCTCAGGGACAGGTCCGTGTCCCCGGCACCAGCAGCGGCGTGGAAGCGCCGTCTCGGGACGCTCGGGTGTTCACTTACTCTTGTGTTTATGGTTGAATCTTAGACGAGCCACACGCACACTTCCTGGCTGCAGATCATAGTGTTTTCTCTCAAAGTGTGGGTCTGACCGGGCGATTATTTTTAAGCCCACACAGAGCTGGAAAGTGTGTAACTCTTCAACTGAGGTTTTCTCCGAATTTCCAGCGTTTCTCCCAAAGGAGTCAGAAGTGAAAATAAGAAACAAAGTAACAAGCTGACATAGCCGCAAACTCTGATTGCCGTAGTTTATTTTCTGGGTCGGCAGAATTCTGGGAGGGGCTAGGGCTCAGCCGCTGCCCGGTCCCTGCCCTGCGCGTCCCTGCTCGTCCCTGCCCTGCGCATCCCCGCTCGTCCCTGCCCTGCGCATCCCCGCTCATCCCTGCCCTGCACGTCCCCGCTCGTCCCTGCCCTGCGCGTCCCCGCTCGTCCCTGCCCTGCGCACCCTGCGCGTCCCTGCGCATCCCCGCTCGTCCCTGCCCTGCGCATCCCCGCTCGTCCCTGCCCTGTGCGTCCCCGCTCGTCCCTGCCCTGGGTGTCCCCACTCGTCCCTGCCCTGCACGTCCCCGCTCGTTCACATGGACGGCACCCAGCACCCGTGCCGCCTCCCTCGGCCTCCTCGCCTTTCTCTGTTCTCGGAAGCGGCTGTGTCATCTCCCCGCGGCCGCTTCCCGAGCCCGGGCCTACCCCCTGCCCCCACAGGAATCACCTTCACCAGGGACGGGCGCTACATGGCCCTGGCGGAGAGGCGGGACTGCAAAGACTACGTGAGCGTCTTTGTGTGCAGCGACTGGCAGCTCCTGCGGGTGAGCGCGCAGGCGGGCGGGGCCCTGGGAGACAGCGGGACTCGGCGGCTGCGTGTGTGTGGCCAGTCCCACCAGCCGGCACCGGCAGGGCCTTCGCTGCCCTTGGGCCGTGGTGTTCGCACACGTGTGTGCTGCAGCAGAGAACTGAGTCCCACGTGGGCCCAGGGCCTGCTCTGCGTGGCTGGGGGTGCCCGCGGCGTGCTGTGGCAGACGTGGGAGGCAGGCAGAGCCCGGCAGGGAGCGCCCGGCGGGCTTGGAGCTGAGAGAGGCAAGAGCAGCAGGGGCGCCGTGGCGTGGCCAGGCCGCTCGGTGCGGGGCGTGCCGGGACCGAGTTCTGGATGGTTGTGTCCGTTTCTACGGGAGAAAGCCGATGTCGGATGTCCGAGAACTTGGCCGTGAAGCTGTTGCGTAAGGCCATGTGTGCAAGCTCTGGTCGCCTTCCGTTTGAAGCACTTCGATACGGACACCCGGGACCTAGCGGGGATCGAGTGGGCACCCAACGGCTGCGTGCTGGCAGTGTGGGACACGTGCCTGGAGGTAGGGGCTGGCCTGCGTCTCGGGCGAGCGGGCCTTGGGCTCGCGGCAATGCGGGAGAGCCGCGCTCCCGGCCACGTGACCCCAGGGTGTCGCCCTGTCCCGTCCCCAGTACAAGGTCCTGCTGTACTCGCTGGACGGCCGGCTGCTGTCCGCCTACTGCGCCTACGAGTGGTCGCTGGGCATCAAGTCTCTGGCCTGGAGCCCCAGCAGCCAGTTCCTGGCCGTCGGGAGCTACGATGGAAAGGTGGGCACGGGGCAGGGTGGGCCAACGTGCGGCGCCTGCGCCCGCCGCCCACCTCACGGGCTCCTCCCTCAGGTGCGGGTCCTCAACCACGTGACGTGGAAGGTGCTCACCGAGTTCGGGCACCCAGCGACCGTCAGTGACCCCAGGACCGTAAGTGGGCGGCCCCGAGCCCCGGTCCGGAGTGGCGGGCGGGTCGCGGCTTTCCTGCCCAGGCTGGTCCTGGGGTACGGATGCCCGTCCCTGGGAGCGTCCACCTGGGGTGCTGCTGCCTCTCCGATGCTGGGGGCTCCCTGGGCTCTGTCTCGGCCACGGCCACGATGCCCAGAGGCTCCTGGTGGGGGTCCTTGCCCTGGCTCTCCCTCTGGCCCCCGCCCCCAGCCTGATGTCACTCCTGCTCTGCGTGGGTACAGACCCCGTCCCCCGGAGGAGCCCAGGGCAGCAGCGCAGGGTGGGGGCACCCAGATGGGACTGCGGCGCCAGCGGCTCCTCCTCGGGGGAGGGCGACAGCTCCAGGCTGAGGGGCAGGGAGTACAGAGGTCCTGGGGTGGGGGCTGTGTCCCCTTAGCAACAGCGTGAACGGGCCTGGGAGCCCAGCTGGGGACAGTAAGGACGACAGACAGGGCCACCGGCCTCGGGAGTTGTGCCCGTGAGAGGCCCAGGCGGGGCCACCGTGGGCCTGAGGAGGGCGGCGGGGGTGGGGTGGGGGTCAGGGGGTCAGGGACCCTCCTGGAAGGGACCTGGAGGAGAAGCCTCGCACGAGGACCCCGTGCCAACTGGGGAAAGGTGTGGGCAGGCAGAACGGGCTCCTGAGGTGGGCGTGGCTCCCGGCGTGTCTGCGTCCCTCCCCGGAGACCCCCAGGCACCCGGGGCCGCTGGCCGCCTCTGTGCCAGCGCTGTCACCTGTGACCCTGAGCTGCCCCGGCCTGGCAGGCTGAGCACACACGCTTGCCCGCTTCCAACGGTGGACGGGCCGCGTGGCCGCGTGGCCTGAGCACACTGCCCCGTGGAGCAGGCAGCGGCCACGCCGTGTCTTCCAGGTTGTTTACAAGGAAACCGAGAAGAGCCCGCAGCTGGCGCTGGGCGCCCTGCCCTTCCCGCCGCCCTGGCCAGCGGCCCGGCCGCCCTCGAGCTCGGACAGCAAGTGTGAGTGCGCGGTGCGGGCGGGGGCGGGGGCGGGGTGCCGGGCACTGAGCCACAGCGCGCGCCTCCCTCTGCTCCCGCAGACGACATCGCGGCCGTGCCCGTGTCCCTGCAGACGCTGAAGCCTGTGGCGGACCGGGCGAACCCCAGGGTCGGCGTGGGCATGCTGGCCTTCAGCGCTGACAACTGCTTCCTGGCCACGAGGAACGGTCAGTGCCGCCGCCCCCTCCCGGCATAGAAATGACAGAGAGATCCGCCAGGCTCACCGTGCCTCGGCGCTCCCGGGCCTGCGCTGCGGTGGCGGGGGCTACGGGCCGGGCTACGGGCCGGGTTACGGGCCGCTGTGGGGCCCACGCCTCTGCCCCGTTCCACCTCCCAGTGAGGGGCGGGAGCGGGGCCCTGCCTGGGTCTGCGCCCTTCAAAGCCTCAGAGTCCTTGACGCTCTCGCTCGGGTCACAGGACAGGACGACAGGACGGGCGGCAGGGCCGGCTCCAGGCTGAGGGGAGGAAGTGCAGAGGCTTGGGGTGGGGGTGGGGGCTGTGTCCCCTCGGCCACAGCCTGACCGGGCCTGGGAGCCCAGCTGGGGACAGCAAGGACGGCAGAGACAGCCACCGGCCTCAGGAGTCTGTGCCTTGTGAGAGGCCCAGGCGGGGCCACCGGGCCTGTGGAGGGCGGCGGGGGTGGGCTGGGGGTCAGCGGGCCAGGGACCCTCCCAGCCTCCCGGACAGGATCTGGAGAGAGCCCTCGGCGCGCGCGCAGGCCGCCGGCTGAGCTGTGCCGCCCCTTCCTCCCAGACAACGTCCCCAACGCCGTGTGGGTCTGGGACATCCGGAAGCTGAGGCTCTCCGTGGTGCTGGAGCAGCTGGGCGCCGTGCGCGCCTTCCAGTGGGACCCGCAGCAGCCGCGGCTGGCCATCTGCACGGGAGGCCCCAGGGTGCACCTGTGGTCCCCGGCCGGCTGCGTGTCGGTGCAGGTGCCCGGGGAAGGTGAGCGCGGCGCACCCCAGCCAGGACCCGCGCCCTGCGGTCCCGGCACCGGCCGCTCACCCTCTGGCCTCCCCCTCCCCCCTCCCCCCAGGTGACTTCCCGGTGCTCTCTCTGTGCTGGCACCGCACCGGGGACTCCCTGGCCCTGCTCAGCAAGGACCACTTCTGTCTCTGCTTCCTGGAGACTGAGGAGGGGTTTGGCGCAGCCCCTGGACGGCGGGGTGGCCGCACGTAGGCCGTGTGGGGCTGGACGGCGGGCTGGCCGCACGGAGGCGGCCGGGTGGGCATGGAGGCGGCCAGGGTGGTTCCCCAGCCCGGGCAGGGGCGGGGCCTCTCCGCAGGGTTCCCCAGCCTGGAGGCCGCATTCCACAATTTGGTTCTATTTTTCTATAGCAAAGCATTTTTGTAAATATGTAGGTATTCAATGTAACTTTATTATTTAAAATAAACCTGATTCCTAACTGTTGCGCTAGTTTTCTCAAAGGCTGGGTCCCGGGGAGCTTTGCCGGTTAGGGTTCCTGTCCCAGAGAAGAGCGGCAGGGCCCCCTCCCCGCTAAGACCGACTCGGTCTGCCGTGGAGCCCGGGCTTCAAGGCCCTGCAGGCTTCAGGAAGTGGGCGGGGCACCCTGTGGAGGCCCCCCCACCTGGGCTTCCCTCTGTGACTGGCACCGGGCCCCCAGCAGCTGGCCACTCCCACTGGGGCTCCCCTGTCCTGTTTGGGAACCAGAATCCCGGGCCCCCACCCTGGCTGCGTGCAGGAGACCCCGGGCACCGCACCCCCAGCCCGGGTTCAGCTGGTGCCGGGCACAGCCACTCAGGACGGTGACATCAAAGAAGGAACAACGCCCGTTTGGTTCCAAACGTCTTTACTGAACCACGGCGAGCGCCGCTGGGCCCGTGCGCTCTGGCGGCCCCCGTGCTGGGCTCGTCCGTGCGCGGGTGAAGCCGCAAGACCATGAGAAGCGGGGAGGCTGGGGGCCGGCACTGAGTTCACACCAGCTGCGGGCGGGGGCCGCGCGAGGGCCTGAGGGACGGAGCCCCAACCTAGAAGTGCGTTCTGGACAGCAAAGCCCGACTCCCTGCTGAGCAAGACACCACCAGGACGGCACGGAGCTGCCGAGGCCCGGAGCTGCCGGTGCCGGCGAGGCCCGGGCTGCCGGCGCACCTCGGCGCTTCCGCGTCCCACCGCGGAGCCGGGAGGCGGCGGGCACAGGCCGCGTCTGCTCACTTTTGCAAACTGCACGAAGTCCCAAAATACGAAATCGGACACAAGTGTAGACATCGCACGGCAGGCACTGAGGGCAGGCGCCGCCCGCTCCTCTCCACGGCTGAAGCGGGGTCGGCGGGGGTCGGCGGGGGCGCATGCCGCGTGGGGGGTGGGGCGGGCCCAGCAGCACGAGACAGTCTGGTCCTTGGCCTTTGCCCCCGTTACCGAGCGTCCAAGAGGGACTAAAGCAGGGACGCCGCTCACTCCGACCCGCTTAGATCCCTGCGGCTGCGGCCCGCGTGCCCCCCAGCCCGGAGCGGCGCCTAGAAGCCGATCTTGCCGCGGCTCATGGAGTAGCCCAGCTTGGCCTCGTTGTTGATGAAGGACATGAGCCCCACGTAGGTCTCGATGAGCAGCGGCCGCTCCAGCACCAGCACGCCGCTGCCCTGGCCCGGCCCCGGGCTCTCCCTCTGCGCCTTCTTCACGGCCTGGATGAGCAGCGTCTTGAAGCTCTCCAGCTAGAGAGAACACGGGCGTGACCAAGGCCAAGGCCAAGGCCCAGCCGGCGCTCCCAGCCCCCTGTGGGGCCGCCTCCGGCCACGCCTGGGGGCCTGACCCGCAGGTCTCACAACGGCTCCGCTGCGGCCCCGAGGCTGCGTCTCCCGCCCCTGGCGGCCTCCCTCGCGCCGTCAGAGCCACGCTCGGTGGCAGCTGGCAGCCCGCACGGCCACTCACGCGTAGCCACCAGGATTTTTAGAACAAGCTCAGGGCGGGTGTCTGGTACAACAATTAAGACGCCGAAGACCCCCGCTGGGACGCCCACGTCCCAAGTCAGAGGCCTGGGTTCGAGTCCCGGCTTCGCTTCCAATTCCAGCTCCCTGCTCATGCACAGCCTGGGAGCAGCACTGCTGGCCAAGCTGGGCCCTGCACCACGGGGGAGACCCGGAAGAAGCTCCTGGCTCCCGACGGGCGCAGCTCTGGCCACGTGGGCAGTGAACCAGCGGATGGAAGACCCCTCCCTCCTCTCCTCTCTAACTCTACCTCTCAAATAAGTAAAATCAAACAAAACTAAAAACAAAAAGCGTGGGCACACGCACTGAGCCGCCACTAGGGAGGCCCACGTCCTGAGCGCAAGCCCCTGCTCCAGGCCCCAGTCCGGCTTCTTGCTCACGCGCTGGGAGGCAGCGCAAGGTGGCCCCGGCACGTGGGTTCCTGCCACCCACGTGGGACCCGGCAGAGCTCCTGCCCCAGCCTGACTGCTGTAGCACCTGGTAGCAAACCAGGGGCTGGGACCCGCCCCCCCGTCTCCCCCCCCATCTCCCTCTCCCTCTGTCTCTCCCCCGTCTCCCTCTGTCTCTCCCCCGTCTCCCTCTGTCTCTCCCCACGTCTCCCTCTGTCTCTCCCCACGTCTCCCTCTGTCTCTCCCCCGTCTCCCTCTGTCTCTCCCCACGTCTCCCTCTGTCTCTCCCCGTCTCCCTCTGTCTCTCCCCACGTCTCCCTCTGTCTCTCCCCCGTCTCCCTCTGTCTCTCCCCACGTCTCCCTCTGCCTCTCCCCACGTCTCCCTCTGTCTCTCCCCCGTCTCCCTCTGTCTCTCCCCACGTCTCCCTCTGTCTCTCCCCACGTCTCCCTCTGTCTCTCCCCACGTCTCCCTCTGTCTCTCCCCCATCTCCCTCTGTCTCTCCCCCCATCACTCTGCCTTTCAAACCTTTGAAGCCCCGCCCCGCGCCCCCCCCCACGCTCGCTGCGGCTCACCTGGCACAGGGAGGCCGTCTTCTCGTCCATGCCGGCCATCGGGTGCTCTATGAAGGTGGTGTACGGCACGTTGGTGGACCAGGGGTTCCACCTGTTGATGAAGGACGGCCGACTCTGCTTGTCCCACTGGATTCGGATCCCAAGACCTTCTCGCCTGAGGGGTGAGGACAGGGAGGCCGACTGAGAGCCCGGCCCACAGGCTCCACTGGCACGGCCTCAGGGCGCCAGGAGCCCCCAGGCCAGGGCACAGACTCAGGGTGCGGGGAGCCCCCAGGCCAGGGCACAGGCTCGGGGTGCGGGGAGCCCCCAGGCCAGGGCACAGCTCGGGGTGCGGGGAGCCCCCAGGCCAGGGCACAGCTCGGGGTGCGGGGAGCCCCCAGGCCAGGGCACAGCTCGGGGTGCGGGGAGCCCCCAGGCCAGGGCACAGGCTCGGGGTGCGGGGAGCCCCCAGGCCAGGGCACAGCTCGGGATGCGGGGAGCCCCCCTCAGCTCTCCCCTCGCGCAGCATGGGCAGCACGAGGCCCGGCCCCGTCACTCCCCGCGTCCCAGGTCTTTGTTAAACACCGGCGGGGGCTCGACTTCTGTGACTTCCCGAACTCCTCTGGCCCCCACCTGTCACTCAGCCAAGGCGGGAAGAAACCCTTAGTGACAGCTGTCAATCACACCTCGTTCAGACAGGAACCGCAGCCCGCTGGACGCCAGGGCGGCTCGGCCGGCGCCGGCTGGGCTCCACGCACCGAGACCCCAGGCGAACCCTCAGGCCCACAGCTGCCTCCGCCCACGGCCGTGGGGCAGGCTGAGGGCTGGAGGCCGAGGCCCACTCCCGGGCCTGGCCTCTCCCCGCGGACTGACCTGTTGAGCGACTTGGGGGGGAACTGGAACTCGCCCCACGAGATGGTGTCCACCGCGCTGAGCGCCACCCGGACCACCTGCTGGCACTGCAGGCCGACGAAGTCGTACTTGCAGACGAGCAGCGACCGCTGCGTGACCAGCACCAGCCGCTCCTTCTCGTTGTTCCAGTGGTCCACCCTGCGAGGGGACGGCGGTCGCGCGGGGCGGGCTGGGGCGGGGGCCGCCCCCGCCCCGGCCCCCGCCCCGCCCCGCCCGCGCTTACTCGGTCAGCAGCCACACGCCCTGGATGTCGCCGTCCTCCACGGGCCGGACCACCACGCGGATCTCCTCCACCGCCTGCTCGATGGTGCCGGGCTGCGCCGCGGCGCGGGCAGCGGTCACTCCCCGCCCGGCCCGCGGCCCAGCCCGCCCCCGCCCCGCCGCGCGCCCGCCCTCACCCGGAACACGAAGTACTCCTTGACGCGGGCGCGGCGCGTGGGGTCGTGGACGCTGAGCGGCCACAGCGTCTGGCGCAGAGGCGAGCCGGCCCCCGGGCGCCCCCCGCCCGGGCCGCCGCTCGCCCCGACCTCCTCGCCGGCCGCCAGCACGGCCGTGGGGCTCGTGCCCGCGGAGTCCACCGAGTCCCGCAGCTGCAGCATCGCCGCGCCCGACCCCGACCCCGTCCGGGTCTTGGGCCCCGCAACGGATCTCGACGCGGCCACCGTCGCCTTGACCGCCGCCGCCGCCCGGCCGTCTGCCCCGCCGCGCCCCGCCCCACCCCCGAGAGGGCCATCACGATTGGCTCCAACTCTCCAGCCCCGCCCCCGAGCCCCACCCCCGCCCGCGCCAGTAGACGCTCGCGATTGGCTCTTCCCCAGCCATCCTCCACGATTGGTTCCGCCCCGACGCCGTTCACAATCACTCCCGCCCCTCGCTGCGCCGGAAGCGGCCTCCACGCTCGGACCCACTTCCTGTTTACACGGGGGCGGGGAAGTGGGTGGGGCCGGGGCGGTTGCCAGGGAGACGCGGCCGGCTGGGGGCGGAGCGGCCGGGGCCGAGGACCACGGGGCCGGGCGGGGAGGGGCGGGCACAGCCCGCGGTGGGGACCCCACGGTCATTTCGCCCGAGGTCCGAGGGCGGGGGCGTGTGCGCGTGGGGGAGTCCGCGTGGGAGGGGGGTCCGCGTGGGAGGGGCGTGTGCACCTGGGGGCTTATGCGCGTGAGGGGCGTGTGCACCTGGGGGCGAGTGCGCGCGGGGGGAGTGTGCGTGGGAGAGGCCTGTGCGCGAAGGGGCGTGTGCACTTGGGGGGCGCATGTGTGTGGGAGGGGCGTGTGCACCTGGGTGTGTGTGCTCGTGGGGGGTCTCGTGCCCCTGGGGGTGTGTGCGCGGGCATGTGGGGCCGCAGGGAGCGCACCCACGGGTTTGGTGGAAACGCCGCTGCGCCCCCGCGCCGTGGCCCCCTGGGAGGCAGCGCCTCACACAGGTTCGGGCGCCCACAGCCCCTGTGACGTCACTGCCGCCGCCCCCACTGGTGCTGAGGGGCCGGGACTGCCCTGTCCCCTGGGCCACCGCCCCCACCCCAGCGCGGCTGTGCCCCTGTCAGCGCCCGGGGACCTCGCGGCCCTAATGTCCACTCCTGTGTCCCTGCCATTGTGTGTGCATACATGAGCGTGTGCCTCCTGTGTGATCCCGTGTGTGTGCGTGCCCTCTGACCCCTGGCGTGTGCTCTCTGCGTGTGCCCTGTCTGCTGGCCCCTTGCACACGCGTGGTGCCTTGGGCTTCCACTTGCAGAGCTGCTTCCCCGGGTCTGAGCGCCCCCTCGTGTGCAGGCCACAGCGGAAGGCTCCGGTGGGAAGCGCCGGCACAGCTGTGCCTCGTGGTGTGTGACGAAGGCGGTGGCAGGCGCCGTAGCGGCCTCAGGACTTCGCTCCCGGGAAGCTGGCGTTCCGATGAGTGTGCAGGCCGGCGCGCTCCAGACCCGCCAGGCCCGGCTGAGGCGGCTGCTGCGGCCCTGGGCGGCCATGGCCGGTGCCACCCCTGCGCTGGGTGGGGCGGGGGTCCCCGTGCTCAGGCCCTTCATCCTGTGGGGAGCGCCTGGCTGGGGGAGGGAGGACGCTTCCCCGGGCAAAGCCGAGCAGGGGTCCCGAGCCCCTGGGGATGCCAGGGAGCCGTCTGGTCAGTGTCCCCGAGGTGCCCCCTGCACAAGGGCCTGAGAGACGGGGCAGGCGGTGCACCTGCGAGGCAGGAGTCAGCCATCCGCCTGTGGAGGGGGGGGGCAAGGCATCGCGACGCTCCCCCTGGAAGCAGCCCAGGATCTCACCCTGCAAAGTCCTGCCAGACCCCATGACCGTACAGCTGGCCTCAGCCCTGCCCCGGGGAAGCCCCCCAGGGGAGCCCTCTCCCCTCAGCTCCACGTGGGCACGTGGTCACGCCGGGCAACGGAACCCCACAGCCTGCCCTGGGGGCGGCTCCTCTGCCTGCACCAGGTGGGCTCCCCAGTCCCGCAGCGCTGAGCAGGGAACCCGGGGAGAAGTCTCTGATCCCCACTCAGCAGCCCTGTGTCCTGGAGGAGGGGGAGAGGGAGAGGGAGGAGCGGGGGTGGGGAGGAGGAAGAAGAGGAGAAGGAGGAAGGGGGGAGGGGGAGGAGACGCGCAGGAAGGACGGGACCCCTTTCCCGGATCAGCCCGGTGAGAACACAGCTCAGCTCTCAGCTCTGCCCAGCGCCCGCCTGGCCTGCCAGGTGCATTCGCTGCACTAAACCATGCGACCTTGCTGTCCCCAGGCCGAGTGGGCGCTCGCTCGCTCTCTCTCTCTCTCTCTCTCTCTCTCTCGGGTTCTGTCCCTGCTGCTCTGACGGACGCCCGACCCCGTTAAACCTTGCTGCCCTGCTGACCACTGCTCTCTGTCTCGTGCCTGAATTCTTCTTTGCATGAAGACGAGACCCCACCCCACCCATCGCCACTAACACCCAGCAAGGCGGGCGGGGGTGACCCCTGGTCACTGTGGGACCTGCAGGCGGGCGTCCTGTGAAGGGTGGGCAACTGAGGCCTGGTAGGGGCTCGGCTGATGGCCCCAGACAGCTGGGGGCCGTGCACAGGAGCGGAGCTGGGCCTGGAGTCCGGCGGGCAGGGGGCAGTGACCGAGGGGGGAGCTTGGGAGTGGACTCCCAGCAAGCCCAGGGGAGGCCGGGAGCCTTGGAGCTGGAAGTCCAGGGGGCAGCTCCCTCCGAGACCCCCGGGGGGGGGCTCCTGCTGTGCGTCCCCTCTCCTCTGCCTCTGAGTGACAGCAGTGGGATCCGGGGAGTCCCCACCCCCACGTCGTCCCCACCGCCCGCAGCCTGGGGGCCGGGGGCTGCAGCTGAGAGGCAGTGTTTGGGGGGTGGGGACACAGTTGCGGCTGAGACCCTTGCTCTCCACCCACATACAGGCTGGGCCAGGGGAGGCTGCTTGCGGCCGGGGTCTGGCCGGGGGTCCCCAGACCGGGGAGCTCCTTCCTGGGGCTCTAGGAGGCTGTTCCCACATCCGTCAGCAGGTGGCAGCGTCGCCCAGGCGTGAAGTCCTCGCTGTCTTATCCCCCTAAATCCTCAATTTCCAGATGTTGTGGGTTAGCGTCTCGCAAAGCCAGTGGTCCCACCATCGACATCTGTTCCTGACGGGCAGCCGTGGGGGCCGTGGGTGGTCCTGGGGAGAGGTCCCACGCAGGGGTCTCGCACCCCCCAGAGGCGGCTGCACCTCGGGCCGTGTCCCAGGAGCACCCCCGGCCTCCTCCTCCTTGGACCGGGCTGCTGAGGTCGTCTTTCATCCTGGGCCTGGCAGAGCCGCGTCCTCCGGGGCAGACGGAGCGAGGTGGGCCCTGGGACGCGGGGAACCAGCATCCCAATGTCCACGCATCTTGGCCAGGGTCCTGGGTCGCCGGCTCGTGTGCGGGGTGCCCGTCAGCTCCGCACAGTCGTGTCCCCAACAGCTGGCACTGCTGCCGACACGAGTGTCGTCTCCTGGGCTTGGCGCCGGCCGACGCTAGACAGCACCTCCGGGCCGTGTCCCCCGTGTCCAGGCCCTGCTGCCCCCGTGCTCTGCCCCACAGCGAAGGGGAGGGTGGGTCAGTCGGCCACTCGTGCAGGGCCGCACTGTATCCACTTCACCCTCGAGGACGCCGAGCCCCGGAGTGCTGGGGCGGGGGTCGCACGAGAGAATTCAGAGGAGACGCAGGGCGGGGTCAGCAGCGGGCAGATGTTCAGCAAGAGAAGCACACCCTCTGGGGAGCCCCCCCCCCCAGCGTCAGGCCGGCCCTTTCTGTGGTCGGGGGCACTGGGTGGGGTGGGGGCTTTGGATGGGATTTTCCAGGAATTTGGCGACTGCCCATGTTCTGGCTTTTTTTTAAGGAAGCATCACATGTGCCGTGGTGTCAGGTGCATGATGGGAGTTGGAGTGTCCACCGGGGTGACGTCACCATGGCTGGCGGCCATCACAGGCACACAGTTGGCAGCCATGCCCAGTGTTCTGGGCTTGTGCTGGTTGCAGCCCTGGGGGAGGTGTGGTCACCTCTCCTGCAGCCGCTTCTCCGGCCCCTGGCTGACTCCTTACCTGCAGCGGAACAGAGCAGCCCATCCAGGCCGGGTGGCTGGTCAGGGCGGGGGCTCGGGCCCAGGCCCTGGACCCCAGAACCCTGGGTCCTGCCCGCCACGCTTGGGCTGCGTCGCCTGGCTCACTACGTTCACCACGCATCAGTCCTTCCACGTTCATTTCTCTTCTGGGGCAAATTCCAACGTTTAGAAATGGCCATGGCGTCCCTGAAGCCCACGTGTCCAGGGCGTGGCCGCCAAGGTCTTCTGCCAACCACAGCAAGGGGCAGCTGGTAGGCGGGGCCTGGGGTCGCCATCAGATTGGCTGGGGCTGTTGTTGGACGTCCAGGGCTGGACTCCCGCGGCCCCCTAAGGAGACACAGAGGGGCCGGCTGGGGCTGCTGCCGCTGCCCCGTCTCAGCTGTGAACCCCCAGACCTGGGAGCCAGAAGTGGTGTGTCCGGGTGCTTCTGCTGCCCGAGCTGGAGATGGACCTCAGCTGCCCGGGGCCTCCTCCCTGAGCCTCGTAGGTTCCTGGTGCAGGGTTTCAGGCGCGAGGCTTTGCTGTCTCCGGCTCTCCCAGAACCGTGCTGGGTTTTACGGAGGCCTCCCAGCGGGCGTGTGTGCCGAGACTTGGGCGCTGTGCTGAGCACCGTCCCCAGGGATGGCCGTGGGCACCTGCTGATGGTGTTGGCATGAATCATTGGCTCGCTGTCCGGTCAGGAAAAACATTAGGGAGCATCCAGACGGGACAGCAGACGGGCCTCTGTCCCTGGGAGCGTTAAAGGATGTTTCGAGTTTCTCTCCGCGGGGCTCGCTCCCGGCTCTGGGCGCACTGGAGTCGGCCGCAGGCAGGAGGGGCCGGGCCCTGGCGAGGAGGCCCGGCGGTTTGCTTTGGAAATTAGCACCAGGAATTATCGGCCGGGCCGTGGACCGACTCTGCCCCTCCCCTGTTGTTCTTCCCCCGCCAGCGGCTGTCTGATTATTTCCAGCAGAGAACAGGCACGGACGCCGCGAAGCAGCGTCTCAGCGATGCCTTTCCCTAAAGCTGGAGCAGCCGTCAGCCAGATGTGGGAGCAGGGGCCTCCAGACCGCACCCCAGCCCGTGGGACACGGTGCCACCTGCAGGCCTGTGTGGCCGGGAGGGCGGAGAAGGGGCCCGCCGGGACACTGGCTTCAGCTCCCGACTCCGGCTTCCTGCTAACGGAGACCCTGGGAGGAAGTGCGGTGATGGCCAAATATCCGGGTTCCTGCCACCCACCAGGGGCTTTGGGCTGGGATTCGAGATCCCGGCTACCCCGGAGTCCCCCACAAGGGGGCAGGGCCCCAGCAGTCCGGCCGTGGTGCTTCCTGGGATGGTCGGAGCGTGCCCCATCACCCTATAGTCCCTGCACTTTCTGAAGTTTCCAAGGCTTATGTTTAAGGCATTTGCACCGTGAGGGGTGGGGGAAGAGCCTCTCCTTTCAAATGAATAAATAAATCTTAAAAGAAAAAACCTGGGGAGCCGGCGCTGTGGCGTAGCGGGTAAAGCCCCTGCCTGCACTGCCAGCACCCCACATGGGCATGGGTTTGAGTCCTGGCTGCTCCACTGCCGATCCAGCTCTCTGCTGTGGCCTGGGAAAGTAATGGAAGATGGCCCAAGTCCTTGGGCCCCTGCACCCGCGTGGGAGACCTGGAAGAAGCTCCTGGCTCCTGGCTTCAGATCGACGCAGCTCCAGCCATTGTGGCCATCTGGGGAGTGAACCAGTGGATGGAAGACCTCTCTCTCTCTCTGCCTCTCCTCTGTCTGTGTAACTCTTTCAAATAAATATAACTTTTTTTAAAAAAATTACCAGTATAACTTGTGGGGGAAAACCAAGAGGAAGGGGGCGTACCTGCTGTGAGTCCCGGGTGGGGGGCTGGCAGGGACCTGGGGTGAGTGAGGCTGGGGGCAGGCACTGTGGCCCTGTGCCGGTGCAGGAGGGCAGAGAGAGACCTGCGTGGTGAGTCAGCATCTGTAACCGTGACAGCTGAGCCACAGGCCAGCGACACTGCCGTAACGGTCCCACCGACTGTGACCCTTCTATGGAGACGCCAGGATGCACACTCGCGGGAGGTACCGGCCGTGTTCTGCTGTGTGACTGAGACCTGTTCGCTCTGCGGAAACTGCTCTGAACGCGGGAGAAACACCCACAGGGGCAGGTGCCTGGCTGGGCGCCCGCACCCGTGTCGGGTGCCGGGGTGGGAGTCGAACCGCCGGCTCTGACCCCGGCTGCCCGCTGACTCAGACCTGGAGGCCAGGAAGTGATGGTGGATGGAGTTCCTGGCTCCCGGCTTCTGCCTGGCCCAGCCCAGCCATTGTAGACATTTGGGGAATCAGCAACTGAGCGCTCTCTCTCCCAAATCAATCAGTCAATAAATAAACATCCTCCTTTGAAAACAAATGAACAGGTATCAGCTCTGGGCTCCCTCCAGGCAGTCAGCTGTCTGAGTAGGAGCACGCCAGCCCTTAGACAGCAGGTGCGGGGCTGGGGCGGGGCTGGGCGGGGCTGGGCGGGGCTGGGCGGGGCTGGGCGGGGCTGGGGCCTTGCTACCTGCATGCCTGTGCGGGAAGGTGCGCTCATGCTGCCTGGTGAGTTTCACCCGTCCACACCTGTGCCTAAGCATAACTGGGAACGCGGAAGACCAGAGACTGCCTGTGTGGGCTCCCCTCCCTGCAAGGGCTCCTGGGAAAAGGCCAGGTGGGCCCTGGGGGAGGTGAGCAGGTGTCTTTTCATCACAGAGACTGGCAGCAGGAAGCACCTGTGCTCTCCCCACCTGGCACCTGCCCAGGACTCCCCACCTGCTGGCCGCCCCCCTCCCGGCACCTGTCCTCTCCCCACCTGCCGGCGCCCCCCCCCAGCACCTGTCCTCTCCCCACCTGCCGGCGCCCACCCACCTGGCACCTGCCCAGGACTCCGCACCGGGCAGGCGCAGGAAGAGGCAGACTTGCTGTGAGGCCGGCAGAGCCGGGGCTGCAGGGGTCCTTTCCAGCGTGGAGTGGGGGTGGGGGTGCTGGAACTGTGACGTGGTTCTGTGAGATTGGCAGCACCCCTTCTCATTGCCGTGTGGGAGACCTGGACTGAGTTCCGGGTTCCGGGTTCCTCACTTCGGCCTGGCTGTTGCGGGCATTTGGGGAGTGAACGAGCACTTGGAATATCTCCCTCCATCGTCTCTCTGCCTTTTTTTCTTTTCTTTTTTACAGATGTGTTTATTTATTTGAGAAGCAGAGTAACAGAGACAGAGAGAGAGGTCTTCCATCTGCTGGTCCCCTCCCCAGATGGCTGCCACGGCCAGGGCTGAACCCATCTGAAGCTGGGAGTCAGGAGCTTCCTCCTGGTCGCCCACGTGGGTGCAGGGGCCCAAGCACTGGGCCATCTTCCACTGCTCTGCCAGGTGCATTAGCAGGGAGCTGGATCGGAAGTAGAGCGGCCGGGACCTGAGCGGGAGCCTCTATGGGATGCCGGCGCCACAGGTGGAGGCTTAGCCCACTACACCACAACACCGGCTCCATCTCTGCCTATCACATCAAATGAAAATAAATAGAAAGTTTCAAAACTGCCCAGAACTAGCACCCACCAGACAGTTAAGGGTGGGGCCCGAGCCAGGCCCTAAACAGCCCCGGGACGGGGCTCTGGGCTGGGAGGATTTTCGGGTGCAGACTCAGTACCTGGGGGCGGAGCAGGGGACACTGAGCCAGGCTGTGGGGGGTGGGGGGTGGGGGCAGAGGGAGAGCCGGGGTCAGGGAGAGCCGACTGGAGCTGTGTGTGGGGTATCTGCAGGCAGGGGCGTCAGCCTGGGGCTGGGACACCTGTGATGCCTCCCCGGGTCCCTGGGCTGTGCAGGCAGCAGAGTGCAGAGCTGAGCCTGGCCCGGGAGCCAGCCCCACGTGCAGTTCCCAGCTGTGCAGCTGACACGTGGGGACATGGGTCCACCTCTTCTGTAAGCTTTGCGTCCCCATCTGTAAGGCAGGGGCCACAGCAAAGCTGGCCTGACAGCCCCGCCCACTAAGACGACCCTCAGGTCGTGGCAGTGTAGGGGGCTCCGGTGTGTGGGCACAGCTTCATCTCCATTGCACGCCGGCACCTGAGTGGGTGGGGTCTCTACCCCTCCCTGCCCCACGGCAGGTGCTGGAGCAGGAAGGCACAGGCAGGAGGGGCTGGCCACTCCCCTGGGAGACGGTGACCAGGAAGGGCCCCGCCCAGACCCTCCCTCCACCATTCTTCAGAAAGTGCCTGCAGCCCCTGGCCCCCTGGTCCGCGCCCTGGGGCAGGTCCCTTCCAAACCTACACCGGGTGTAACCGAGACAGGAGCCCGCCCAGAGCGCGGCCGGCTGCGGACCTCTGAACGCACAGGGCCCTCCCCCGCGGCCACCGCCCCTGGCCACGGCCCAGCGCACCGCGCGGAAACGGGCTGCGAAGGCCGGAGCTATTGGTGACCCACAAGGTGGGTGCACCAAGAGGAGCAGGCAGGGGCAGCGAGGGAGGGGCCGAGGCGTCCTCGCGGTGGGCTCAGGAAGCTAGGAGGCCGGGCGCCGGTTTGCTGGGTGCGTGGGGGCCCCTGCGCTCGGGTCGGACGGGAACCGGGACTTCCAGCCCTCGCTAAGGGGAGGCCGGAGTGGGCGCCTGGGCGGGGCAGGGGGCGCGCGGGGCGGGTCTGTGGGCGGGGCCGGGACTGAATCGAGATTCGACGGGGCGGAGGCTGGGGCGGGGCCGGGGGCGGGGCCGGGGAGAGGGTCGGGGTGGGGGGCGTTGCGGCAGCGGGGCGGGATTCCCGCACTCCGCTCGGCTCTCCAGGCCAGTGTCCCGCCCTGCGGACCCAGGAGCGCGGGGCCTCTTCGCCGCCGCTTCGGGTGCGGGCGGGAAGCCGGAGCCCCCGCACCTGCAGAGACTAAAGTCTCCCCGGACGCGGCGCCGGCACCCGTGGGCTGCGCTCCGTGCGCCCTCTCGGCCATGGTGCACGTGGAGGCGGCGGCTGCCGCGGGCCTCCGGGGCCCCCTGTGAGCGGGCACCGGGGACGGACCCGGCGCGAGGCCGCGCGCGCGTACGATGCCTGTGCCCGCGGAGGCCAGGGCGGCGGGGCGCGCGGTGGCCCTGGCTCTGGTGCTGCTGCTCCCCGCGGCGTCCGCGGGCGCCCCGGCGCGGCCCCTGCTCCCGCTGCAGCCCAGCATGTGAGTAGACGCCCGCAGACCCCGGCCCGCGGCGCTCCGGGGCTTTGTCCCCGGCCCCGGGAACAATGGGCTCTCGGCGCTGACGCGGAGGGGGTGGTCGCGACGCGAGGATCCCGGGTTGGGTCTGGGGGCCCCTCCCCTCCGCGCGCCCTGCAGACTGGAGAGAGGTGAGACGTCTGAGCCCCCTGCCGGGCAGGGTCTGGCCGGGGAGCCGGGCTGGAGCGGGCAGGAGGGGGCCCGCGCGCGCCCACTTCCTCCCCACCGCCTCCTGGGGTCTGGGGGCCTCGGCAGGGGCGGGCCGGGCCCCGACGGGCGCGCGGAGCTGGTTTGTGTGTTAAACACGTGCGCGCTGAGCCTGCAGGAAGTGAGGGTCGGGGAGCCAGACGAGACGAATTTAATTCTGAAAGAGGATTCCCCAACGGGCCGTTTAGCGGTCTCTCTTCAACAGCGAATCAGTCCTCCGCCGGCTTTGAAGGCGGCCGGGTGCTGGAGTGGGGTGGGGGGGGGCAGCGGCGCTCGCAGAGATGGAGGGAAGGGGAGGTGCCCCTGCCTTGGGGGGCCACGGAAGGGGCTCCCTCCAGGGCCGGGCACTGGAGGACGGCGGTAACCTGCCGAGCTGGGCAGGGGCAGGTCTGCACCCCAGGGCCTCTCCCCAGCCTTGCTTTGCTTTAATGGGGAGACTTCCTTGTGGCGTCTTCAGAAGGGGTGGGGTCTGGGCTGGGGCCTTTGGGGAGACACGTGAGTGGCTGAGCCCTGACCCCGCCGTGACTTCCTCCGGCGGCCCCCTTCCCTGTGATCTCTGAGTTTTTCCAAAGGGAGCAGCAGCCTCCCAGGGGACGATCCTGGAGGCCCTGCTGGACGGCCCGCGGCTGGCTGGGGTGGGCAGCTGCTGGGGGTTCCCTAGCCGCTGGCCTGCGGTGCCCGGCCTGGGGGCAGGAGCTTCCTGCGTCTGCTCACCTGGGGCTCTGGAAGGGCCCTCTGGGTTGTGGGAGGGAGCGAGCGGGTCTCTTCCTGCTTCCCCCTCTTCAAGCCCCAGCACCCCACCCCCACCCCACAGTGCGGCTGCTGCCTGTTATTCTTGGCCAGTGCCAGGCCTCCCTTCGCAGATTCCTCTCGGCTGCATCTCCTACAGGTGTTTTATCTGATGGCACCTGCTGGTGCCTGGGCACACAGTGGGGCTGCGGTGGGCGATGGCCGGCCGGCCGAGCTTGGGCAGGAGGTGGAGGTGCCTGGGCTCTGTCTTTGTGTCCGGGCTCCAGAGGTGCAGGGCAGGATCTGGAGAGCAGCGCTTCCTCCTGCTGGTCCTGTCCTCCCCCCACCCTCCCCTCCTGGGGGCGGGGTCTGACGGCAGGCAGGGCGTGGCAAGGGCAGCTGTGGCCCCTGTGCCCAGTTCTCTGAGCCTTTGGCTGTTGTTTAAACAACACGGCCTGCTGAACTCCGGGGCTCCCCACGTTAGAGGGAGGTTGGGGGCCTGGTGCAGCTGGGGGTGAGGGCGTCCCACCGATTCCGGCCCAGGTCCAGTGCCGTCACAGAGTGGGCCAAGCCCTGTAGCCACCTGTTTGTTGCTGCTTCTAAAGTGAATTCCTGCGGCTGAGGAGGGGGGGCCTGGAGCACCTGCTGGGCACATTCAGGGCCGGGGTCTGGGCCAGGATTGCCACACACAGAGGCCAGCTGAGGCCTGAGGGGCCACCCTTCAGAGGAGAGGGAGGGGGAGGGAGAGGAAGAGGAGGGGTGGGGGAAGGAGAGGGGTGGGGGAGGGGAGGATGGGGAGGGGGGAGGGGATTGTCTCTCGAAGCTCTGGGCTCCTCCCAGCCGGAGACCCCTCTGGGCAGCTGTGCCAGTTATGCTGACCCTCGGTGATGGAGTGGTGTGGTGGTGGAGGACAGGCCTCCAAGTTCAAGTTCGCTCTTGCAAGCAGAGCCACAGGCCCGGAGGCCTCGCCTGGCCCCATCCTACAGGGAGGCCCCTCCCACCAGCCACACCAGGTGTCAGGAAGCCGAGTGCACTTTGAGGGGCCCGCGCAGGCAGGGGGCGTGGGGGCTGTGTGTGTGTGGGGGGTGCAGACGCTGCACCTGTGTGTGGCACTGTGGTGGATGTCTCCTTGCTACTGGGCGGCGTGCAAGGGTCCCAGTGACACCGCTGCAGAGTCATAGCACCCGGGGGCCCCAGACAGGACCCAGCCCCTCCCCTGGAGCCGGCTGCACCCAGGCCAGGGCAAGCTCACTTTGGGGGGGGCGCCTCTGCCAGGCCGCCGCCCCCCGACAGCGAGCTCAGCCCGGTTCTGCCCTGGTTCGCGGATCCGCACTCCTCACCCTGCTGCCGCTGCTGGCCTCACTGTCTACCCTCCTCGGAGCAGATGGCCCGACAGCTGGGTCCCCGCCCCCCCCCCCCCCGCGTTCCCCCCCCCCTCGCCGTGGTCTGGGAAGTGACTTCCGTCCCCCAGATGGGAAGCGGGGCCGGCAGCCAGGAGCAGAGGCCTCTGGTCCTGCTGCGCTCCCTTGGGTTCTGCTCGGACCTTGCGGTCAGCTTTCTTTTGGTCCCTTGTCTGCTCCCCTCCCCCCAGCCTGCCTCCTCCATCCTCCAAGCCCACTGGGCTTTGCAGTGGCCGGAAGCTTCCCAGAGGAGAGGTGGGCCTGCGCTGCCCTCCCTTTAACCTGCTCCCCGCCTGGGAGCCGTTCGCAGCCACCAGGGATGGGGAGAGCTGTGCAAGCGTGGGCTCCCTTCAGCCGTGGGGCAGGGCAGGGCCCCCCAGGCCTCCGGGAGAGCCCTGCTGGGGAGAGGTTCCTGGGGAGGTGTTGGCGGGCACAGACACGCTGGGGGCAGGGTGTGACCCGAGTGAAAGTGCTGGGAGGGGCTGGCCCCAAGCCCCTCAGGGTGGTCACCCAGGGTTGCCGGGAAGGACAAGGAGGCCCTTCATTGGGGGGCACCCCCATTTCCTGCCTCGCCCTGGCATCTCCAAGGTCCCTGTGGGACGCCCCTTCCCTCCCTGTGGCCGTTCCTCTGCCCAGATCCTGCCGCTCCCTGCGGTCCACGGCCTGAGATGAAGGACCCCGGGCTCCGCAGACCCCGGTGACCCTGCGGTGGGGGCCCTGGAGCCGGGTCCCTGCCATGCATGGCCTCCTCTGGGGCGCTCTGGAGCCTCGACGGCACCGCTGTCGTCGCCCCCACCTTCCAGACACCGAGTGGGGGCCCAGAGAGGATCCGTGAGTTTGCTGGGACCGTGGCTGCCTCCGCAGACCAAGGCTTCGCAGCTGGAGCTCTGCCCGGGCTGAACCCCGCCCCCCACTCTGCGGTCAGGAAGCTGGGGCCACAGGGGCTCACCAGGGCGACGGCCTCACAGGCACAGGTGTGGGCGGAAGCACTCGGGGCACAAATGAACCCAGGTCACCTTGGAGAGGCGCACAGCCCTCCCCCTACTGGGTCCCAGCGTCCGTCTGTCCGTCCACAGTGGAAGTGGCGGCAGCTGTGGCTCCGGAGGGCTGTGCCCAAGCCTCTGCTGGCCCAGGCACCCCTTGCAGTGGCTGAGACCAGCGCGTGAGCCCTCGCTGTGCAGGTGCAAAGCCCAGGCGGGGCTCAGGCCCCAGATCTTAGAGCTGACCCCGCCCACTCTGCTGGGCGGGGCTTCTGTGGCTTGAGTGCCTCTGGGGAGGCTGGGGGCCACGCAGAGCCGCTCCGTTGCTAAGTCCCTGAGGAATGCCAGCTGCTGCTGGTCCTGGCCAGGGCCCCTACTTGGAGCACCAGTGCTCTGGGGGCCCGGGGCCTGGGCCAGGGGATCCCCCACGAGTTCTGTCCCCGACCCCTAACCCAGGCTCTGCGCTGTCACAGGGACGCCCGGCTAGACTCTCAGGCCACAGTTGCGCCTGTCAGAGGGAGGAGGGCCTGGGGCAGAAGGGTGGGTGAGGGGCTTCACCATGGGGGCGCAGCAGCAGGAGCCAAGGAGGCAGAGCCCCTCGGGCCAGGACCCCGCCCAAGGACAGCCGACGGGGACCCCTCCCTGGGGACCAGACGCCCCGTCCCTGACACCCTCCCGCCCGAGCGCCCATCCGTGCCGTGGCCCGTGAAGTGGTCCCTGGGAAGCCGGGGCCCGGTGTGCTCTGACGGCCGTCTGAGCAGCGCTGGGAACGGAGGCGAGCTCGCTTAGCAGGCGGCCCGGGCAGAGCTCCCACGCGGGCGCCGCCTCCTCCCGGCACTGGGGCGCTCCGTGATGTAACGTCTGGAACGTGCCTGGGGCCGCTCCGAGGCGTTCCCTCCCCCACCTTTTCCTAGGAATCCGCCCCCTCCTGCTGGGGGCTGGGCAGGGCTCCCGGCCTGTAGGAAGGGGGACCCGGAGCGTCTTCTTGGGGCCCTGGGACTGCCCCCTGGCCATGCCCGCTGGAGGGCTGTGTGGCCACAGTTCCAGGAGAGCTGGGGCTCTCGCCTGGGAGTGACCGGTGTGGGACGCTGCAGGGTGCGGGCAGGAGGGCACCTGTGGGTCTCCGGGAGGGACGTCTCCAGCGGCAGCCTGGACCCGACCGGAGACCTCGCCCCAGCTCTGGGTACGCTGCCCTCTGCCGCCGTCACTCAGCGGCAGCTGCGGCGGGTGGTGGGCCCCTACCCTCCCGCGGGTGACTTCCTGCCGTTGGGTCCACCTCGAGGCTGTGGACTGGGTGCTCCCCTGATGGGTGGGGCCCGGCGGCAGCTGGCCTGGGACCAGGGCGGGGCCGTGTGCACCAGGGACTCCTCCCTGGTGTGGGGTGCAGTGCTGACAAGCTGGGCTGTTAGCCGCGGAGCCTGGGGACTGCACCTGTGTTCCCTGGACCGGTGGTCGAGGACAGGGGTGGCCTTGGCTGCAGGAGGGGACCCCGGTGGTGGGCCTCCTGCTTGGGGGGGGAGCCCAGAGCTGGCTGTGCGGTGCCAGCCTCATCCTCAGAGACTCCCCTGGCCCGGGGGACACCAGTGCCAACGCTGCCCCTTAAACCTGCCTCAGCGGAGGCCCCCATCGCCCTCCATCAGGGCGGTCCTGGGCTGAGCCCATGCGCCCTGGACAGCTGACGGCAGGTGTGCAGGGGACTGCTCCAGTGCCCACGGGTGTCTGAGGCACGCGTGAGGTGCTGACGTCCTCGTCCTCTGTCCCAGGCCCCATGTGTGTGCTGAGCAAGAGCTGACCCTGGTGGGCCACCAGCTGCCCTGCGTGCGGGCCTTCAGCCGCATGGTGCCCGTGTGGAAGCCGGGCTGTGGGCGCCAGGCGTGGTGCATCGGCCACGAGCGGAGGTACGTGCCGGGGACACTGGATCCGTGTGGCCATGGGGGTGGGCTCTGCTTCTAGCCCAGGCAGCACTGGCCCCCCAGGAACCAGGCGGCTGGGACGGGGGCCCGTCCTGGTCCTGGTGAGGCTGCCATGGGCCGGTGTGGACTGCAGCTCAGGCCCCAGCCGTGTACCTGGGCCCTGCAGGGGGAGACCCTGCCAGGGAGTGGCCCCCAGAGCTGTCGCTTCCTGACCTTGGGTTTCATGCCCAGGCCCATGTGAAACCTCTCGTGGCTCAAGATTTCATTCCAAACCAAGCCGAAGTCGCTGCAGCCCCCACAGCTCCCCACGGCTCCCCACAGCTCCCCATGGCTCTCCACGGCCCCCATGGCTCCCCACGGCTCCCCACGGCTCCCACCGCTCCCCATGGCCCCCACGGCTCCCCACGGCTCCCCACGGCTCCCCATGGCTCCCACAGCCCCCATGGCTTCCATGGCTCCCATGGCTCCCCAGCCAGGTGGAGGGTTTGTGGGGGGAGGGACAGGTGTCCTCACCCGAGGGTGTGAGTTCAGCTTTGTAGCCAGGGCGCTGGGAGCAGCCTCGGGGGCGGTGGGGCAGGGTAGGGGTGCAGGTGCGTGGTCTGCAGGGGCACGTGGCTGCTGCGCCTGCTCCGGGGGCTCCGGGAGCCCTGATTTCCTGTTTGTGTCTGATGCACGAGAGTTGCAGGTGAGAGGGGACACTTAGCTGACCCCCGCAGTGCTGTCACGGGGGCGCCGGCCGTGTCGGGAGGCAGGTTTGGTGCTGAGAGGTGGGGGGCGGGGTTGCTGCTCAGAACTACAGTGCACAGCTCCACCCCCCACCGGCCCTAACACCAGGAGGGTCGGGTGGGGGCCCCGGGCCGGGTGGGGGAGCACAGGTCCCCCAGCGTCCCGGGGTGCGGGTTGCTGGCACAGGTGCCCTGGAGCTTCCGCGGTGTGGACTCACCAGTCGGGAACCGGGTCCCATAAACCGCCACGAACTCACCGCGTGCAGGTGCTGTCTCTGGAAGCTGCCCGAAGCCGCGTGGCCACGGGCTGGGGAGTGCAGTGGGGGCCCGAGCCAGGGAGGGGACAGCGGCCTGGCAGGGTGGGGCCTTGTGGAGGAAGCACCCCCCCACGGCCTCGGGCCACGCTGAGCACCAGGGTGTTCGGGGTCCCCTTTTCCCCTCTAAGACCCCTCCCTACTGCTGGTGCTGAGCCTGCAGCGCCGGCTGTGGGAAGCCCCCCGAGCTGTGGGCGGCTCCCCCTCCCCGAGCTGTGGGCGGCTCCCCCCCCCCCAGCTGTGGGCGGCTCCCCCTCCGCGAGCTGTGGGCGGCTCCCCCTCCCCGAGCTGTGGGCGGCTCCCCCTCCCCGAGCTGTGGGCAGCCCCCCCAAGCCTCTCTGGCCGGCCCTCCAGCGCTTGCTGCAGCTGTGGTCACTCCCAGAGCGGCCCCTCCTGCCGGGGGTCACTGCTCTGACCCACCAGCCCTCAGGCCTTGCCTGGTGGCCCGAGTCCCGCGGCTCCCGAGCGGGGGCCCAGGTGTCAGAGCGCCGGTTGTGGTCCGGCCTCACAGGTCGGTTCTGGGCAGCACGGGGAGCTGGTGCCGCTCCTGCCCCGCGGGCAGTGGACAGGGGCAGGTGGACCTCAGCCAGGCAGGCACAGGGAGGGAGGCTCCGCACTGAGTGAGCACAGGGCCCGTGGGGCCCCGGGGACCCAGGCATCAGGAGCAGGTGGACCTCAGCCAGGCAGGCACAGGGAGGGAGGCCCCGCACTGAGTGAGCACAGGGCCCGCGGGGCCCCGGGGACCTGGGCAGGCCGTGGGGCGGGGGCCGGGGCGGCTGGGCCTCGGGGCTTGTGGGTTTTGTCTCTGGCTCCAGCTCTGCCAGTTTGGTGACTTCAGGCCTCTTCCTTGTCAGCCTTCACCTGTGCCGGGGTCGTGCCTGTCAGCGCCTTGGGGAGCTTCCCGGGCCTGGGGTGGAGCAGGGAGGGGTGGGGGGCTGGCCCCCGCTGCCCAGCTGCTTGGCCACACGCAGGGCTGAGGGGGTGACGGCTCCTCTGGCCTGGCCCGGGCCCGTGTGCTGTGGGGGCGTCCAGGGGCCTGGCTCTCAGCCCACCCAGCGGGCGTTCTCCCCATCAGCACGGCAGCCAGTGTGGGCCAGGGAGTTCCCCAGGCCACACAGAGGGACTTTCACACTCAGAACCCACAGGAGGGAGGGAGGGAGGGAGGAGGGAGGGGCTGCTCGAGCCCTCTCTCCAGCCAGGCCCGGGTGAGATAGTTGCAGAGGACGGGGGGGGGTGTGTGTGTGTGTGTGTGTGTGTGGGTGGGGCCCCAGTGGCCCTGCGTGAACCAAGGCCCCCTCAGGGCCTCTGCCTTTCGGGGCCCACAGGGAGGGAAGGCCCCGCGCTCCCGGCTCCGCCAGGCATTGTTTGCGTGTTGGCCGCCTCTGTCCAGGCAGGTGGTTTCCCGTCCTGCTCCCAGGGCCTGTGTGTGCAGCGCCCGTGTGGACGCTCGCTTCCGGGAAGCCAGGCCAGCAACGCCGCCGCTCGCCCCGTCTGCCTGCTGGGTCAGCTTCCCCGGGCCGGCCTGGCTTCCTGTGCGTCAGGCCGAGCAAGCAGGAGGGCGCTGTCACCTGGAGACGGCCACTCGGTCCGTCAGCGGCTCCTGGCTGGGCCCCGGGCGCGGTCTCCAGGTGGCGGTGGGGGCGGGGGAGGCCCTGGAGGCAGCAGGTGGACCCGGACCACCTCTCCTCCTCTCCAGTGGCTCTGACCATCTCTCTCCCCTGCCTCTCTGTGGCCTCTCTGCCACTGTGCAGCCGCAAAGCCCTTGGAGCCGTGGGGATCCTGAGCAGAGCCCTGTCCCTGTGTCGCACGTTAAGGCCACCAGGGCCTTCTAAAACCCAGTGCTGCCCCCACCTGGAGGCTGGCGGCTGGAAGCCAGCATGTGGGCAGGGCCCGGGGGGTCTGGCCCCTGCCCTGTAGCCCTGGCCTGGCCAGCAGTGTCCAACCCCAGCACCTCTGGGCCCACACAGGAGCGAGGCGGGAGGCCGTGTGGGCGGGGGAGGGTGGGGACTGGGGTCTGGGCTGTTTCCCCTGCTCTGGGAGGGGGGCAGCCCCCGTGCTGGGCAGACCCCCGGGGCTGCTGAGGCTTAACCCTGGGGATGAGCAGGGAAGGAGCCTGGGGGAAGAGCAGAGGCCCCCGCGCCGGGCAGGGCACGGCTGAGGCCACCCTGGTCCATGCTGCCCCTGGTCCCTGAGAGGCCCTGTCCCGGCCACAGGCGCCTGGCTGGGTATCAGTGTCCAGCAGCCACCTGGACACCAGGTCCCTGGGCCTGCTCAGCTGGGACTGGGCGAGAGTCGGCCTCCGGTTCCGGCAGAGCCCGGGGCCGCGCTGGGCCTGCAGTGTCCGCATGTCAGCTCTCCTCTCTTCTAGAACTGTCTACTACACGGGCTACAGGCAGGTGTACAGCACGGAGGCCCGCACTGTGTTCAGGTGCTGCCCGGGGTGGAGCCAGCTGCCCGGCCAGGAGGGCTGCCTCTCCGGTGAGTGCCCGCCTTTCCCCTGTCCCCAGGCAGACCGTGTCCCTGGGGCTGTGTCCCGTGGTGGGACAACAAGGGCCTGCTTTTCTGCCCTGCCCAGGGCTTCCCACCGCCATGCCAGAGACTCCCGGCGCTGCCTGCTCGGTGCCCCTGCTTGCCAGGGGCTAAAGCGAGACCACCGAGAGGGAGAAGGAGCAGGGACTTGACCAGCCCCAAGGCCTGCAGGGGCCGCAGGGGGACAGCTGGGACTGGAGGGAGGTGCCCCTGTGTGCAGCACGGTTGCAGGACTGCCTGCATCCCCTGTGCACACACAGGCAGGGGCTGCTGGGCTCCGAGCTGGGGCGACTGGAACCGGGTTGTGTGAGGGCGCAGGGACAGGTAGCCTGCGGGGGCCGTGGGGGGCCGGTGTCAGCCGGTGAGGTCGCAGCCCCTCGTCCCTCCCCACACCTGGACCTGCTCGGGATGTCCCCAGAGCCCCTGGCTCCCCTCACGTGGGCATCTGGGGGACCCGCAGGGGTCTGAGGCCCTGGCCTGGGCTGAGGGCTGTGGGAGGGAGGGAGAGGGAAGGGTGGGGGCACTGCCGCTCCCGGAGGGAAGTGAATCACTTTGTCCAGGGAGGGCGCCCAGGGAAGGGGAGCAGCGGGGGGGGGGGGCACGGGTGGGGCTGGGCCGGCAGCCGCCCCTGCCTGGCTCTCTGATGGCCGTGATGTCTGACGGGACCCTGCCTTTCTGCCTCTGGAATCCGGGCGGAACAGAGGGGTCTGTTGAGCAGGGGCGTTGAAGCCCAGGTCCCCCAGTTTCCGCTCCAGGTGGGGGTCCCTTGGGCCCGGCCGAGGTGGCTCTAAGAATGGGGCGAGACAGTGCGGGAGCTGGGGGCTGGGGTGGGGAGAGGAAGCGGCGTCCCCAGGGCTGGCTTGGGAGGAAGAGGTCTTTCACGCCCGGGAAGGGACGCGAACGCGCGGCCCGTGGGGTGTGGGGCCGGGCAGGGCGGCCAGGCGCGGTGGTGCAGCTGCAGGTGTCGTGTGTGCGGTGGCGTTTCCGGTGTTGTCTCCTCTGAGCCTGGTGACCCTGGCTTTCTCCTGGGTCTGAGGTGACCGTCCAGGTGGGGGCGGGGCCGGGGTGGCAGGTCCCCAGGCTGCCCTCTCCCCCACAGAGGTCAGGCATGGGGGGTCCACAGCTGGGCCTGGTCACCGTGGTGGCCTTTTCCATTCCTCCCGGTGCCGTGGCAGCTCTGGGCCTGTCCTGCCAGCTCTGCCGGCCCGTGTCGGTGGCCAGGAGCCAGGCTGTTGCCCGCACAGGGGACCGTCAGGCCTCGGAAGGGTGAGTGGCTCTGCCCGGGTAGCACAGGGAAGTCCTGGCCTTGCAGAGCTGGAGGGGCCGGGCTGGGGGGCCCGGAGGGGGTCTCAGCCGCCGGGCCGGCCCTGGCTGTCAGTGTCAGCTGGACAGGGCCCCACCGGATCCTGGACTCCAGTTGCTCAGTTGTGTGTTCTGGGACGTTCGCTGCAGCACGCACGTCACGTATCTGAGTTTTATTTTTACCTGCTTGTTTGTTTTAATGAACCCGGGGCAGCTCTGTGATCTGACTTCCCCGGACGCCGAGGTCTGGGTCCCTGTGCAAGGGCGGGGCCGGAGTCGGGGTCCACACGGGCGGGGCAGGAGCCTGGGCCCCGTCCCCTCTCCAGGGGCTGGAGGATGCCGGCGGGTTCCGCGGTGACCAGGGATTCATCCCCTCCCTCCCTCCCTCCTGCACCCCTTGTTGGGTGTCGCCTGGGCATCCCTGGGGAGCTCACGGTCTGTCCAGGAGGCTGACCGCTTCCAGGTGCAGAGCCACAGACGGGCAGGCCAGGGCCAGCCACTGGGGGCGGGCGCTGAGGACAGCAGGAGTGACCCGGCGGCTGAGCCGGATCCCCGCCAGCCTGTGGGTGGTCCACGCAAGGGTGTGGGGTGGGGGGCGAGAAAGGAAACCCCGGCCGACCGTGGACTCAGTGCCAGCGCCCCTGAGCGGACTGACCGTGGTGTTAACCCCGAGGCCGCCTCCGGGACCCCGGGCCGTGGGGCCGAGAATGCCCTCCTCCAGCGCAGGCTGGGCAGGCACACAGCAGGTGCTAAGCAGTGCCAGCTCTTCTGGTTGTCGGAGAGGCGGAGGCAGTGACGGTGGGCGTGGCACGAGCGGGGACCCTTGGCGGCGGCATCACTTGGCCGGGGGCTGGGCGACCAGGGCGGGTTCAGCAGGGACCTCGGGCCCACTGCCTCCCTCCTGCCTGCTGCTGGTCAGCTGGCCCAGAACCGCTGTGGTCAGGCTCGTGCTCTTCCCTGCTCCCTGCTGAGTGGAACGTTCCAGAAGCCTCGCGGCACCTCTCCCACCCTCTCCCACCCTTTGTGGGATGGAGACGGGGCAGGTGCGGGCTGGAGTCAGGCACCTGTGTTGGGGGACGGCCGGGGCCCTGGGAAACCCTGTCCCCACGTGGGCAGGTGGAGGTCATCCCGTGGCTCCCCGTGGTGCCCCTGACCAGTCCCCAGCAGCCCGTGCGTCGTGAGGGGCTCTCTTCCTCCCCCGAGGCCACCCCTGCAGCCGACCCTTCCCTCAGCCACGGTGGCCTTGCCTTGCCCCCCCCCCCCCCGATGTGGGGACACGCCAGGGTCTTGAGGGTGGCGTTGGAGCCCCGTGTTTGCGTAGGAACCAGGAGAATGGCAGGAAGTCGCTAATCGCACTTGGCCGTTGCTGGCAGGGAGGTGACGACCGAAAGCCACGAGTGCCAGGCGGGGCCCGATGGCCGGGGCTGCCCAAACGTCTGCCCCGCCGCCGGGAGGTGCCCAGGGCGTGCCTGGGCCGGGCCCCTGCTGGCCACTGGGGGCAAGCCCCTGCTGCCCAGTTCTCTGAATTCTCATTCCGGTCAGGCGGCAGAGTTCTCCCCGAGCCTCCCGAGGTTTGGGCTGCAGCCGCGCTGGGGACGGGGGGCCTCGCTGAAGCAGGAGGCCTGGCAGAGGTGCTGGGCTGCGGGGGCTGGGATGGACACGCAGGGGCTGGGCTGTGGGGGCTGGGATGGACACGCGGGGGCTGGGATGGACACGCAGGGGCTGGGATGGACACGCGGGGGCTGGGATGGACACGCGGGGCTGGGATGGACACGCAGGGGCTGGGATGGACACGCAGGGCCTGAGATGGACACGCGGGGGCTGAGATGGACACGTGGGGGCTGGGATGGACACGCGGGGGCTGGGATGGACACGTGGGGGCTGAGGTGGACACGCGGGGGCTGGGATGGACACGCGGGGGCTGGGATGGACACGCGGGGGCTGAGGTGGACACGCGGGGGCTGGGATGGACACGCAGGGGCTGGGATGGACACGCGGGGGCTGGGCTGTGGGGGCTGGGATGGACACGCAGGGGCTGGGATGGACACGCAGGGCCTGAGATGGACATGCGGGGGCTGAGATGGACACGTGGGGGCTGGGATGGACACGCGGGGGCTGGGATGGACACGCGGGGGCTGGGATGGACACGCGGGGGCTGGGATAGACACGCAGGGGCTGGGATGGACACGCAGGGGCTGGGATGAACATGCGGGGGCTGGGATGGACACGCAGGGGCTGGGATGAACATGCGGGGGCTGGGATGGACACGCGGGGGCTGAGATGGACACGCGGGGGCTGAGGTGGACACGCGGGGGCTGGGATGGACACGCGGGGGCTGGGATGGACACGCGGGGGCTGAGGTGGACACGCGGGAGCTGGGATGGACACGCGGGGGCTGGGATGGACACGCAGGGGCTGAGATGGACACGCGGGGCCTGAGGTGGACACGCGGGGGCTGAGGTGGACACGCAGGGGCTGGGATGGACACGCAGGGGCCTGAGGTGGACACGCGGGGGCTGAGGTGGACACGCAGGGGCTGGGATGGACTCGCGGGGGCTGGGATGGACACGCGGGGGCTGGATGGACACGCGGGGGCTGGGATGGACACGCGGGGGCTGAGGTGGACACGCGGGGGCTGGGATGGACTCGCGGGGTCTGGGATGGACACGCGGGGGCTGGATGGACACGCGGGGGCTGGGATGGACACACAGGGGCTGGGATGGACACGCGGGGCCTGAGGTGGACACGCGGGGGCTGAGGTGGACACGCGGGGGCTGGGATGGACACGCAGGGGCTGAGATGGACACGCGGGGCCTGAGGTGGACACGTGGGGGCTGAGGTGGACACGCAGGGGCTGGGATGGACACGCAGGGGCTGGGATGGACACGCAGGGGCCTGAGGTGGACACGCGGGGGCTGGGATGGACACGCGGGGGCTGGGATGGACACGCGGGAGCTGGGATGGACACGCGGGGGCTGTGATGGACTCGCGGGGGCTTTGATGTACTCGCGGGGGCTGGGATGGACTCGCGGGGTCTGGGATGGACACGCGGGGGCTGGATGGACACGCGGGGGCTGGGATGGACACACAGGGGCTGGGATGGACACGCGGGGGCTGGGATGGACACGTGGGGGCTGGAATGGACACGCGGGAGCTGGGATGGACACGCGGGGGCTGTGATGGACTCGCGGGGGCTTTGATGTACTCGCGGGGGCTGGGATGGACTCGCGGGGTCTGGGATGGACACGCGGGGGCTGGATGGACACGCGGGGGCTGGGATGGACACACAGGGGCTGGGATGGACACGCGGGGCTGGGATGGACTCGCGGGGGCTGGGATGGACACGCGGGGGCTGGGATGGACACACGGGGGCTGTGATGGACTCGCGGGGGCTTTGATGTACTCGCGGGGGCTGGGATGGACATGCGGGGTCTGGGATGGACACGCAGGGGCTGGATGGACACGCGGGGGCTGGGATGGACACACAGGGGCTGGGATGGACACACAGGGGCTGGGATGGACACGCAGGCGCTGGGATGGACACGCGGGGGCTGGGATGGACACGCGGGGCTGGGATGGACACACGGGGGCTGGGATGGACACGCGGGGCTGGGATGGACACGCGGGGGCTGAGGTGGACACACAGGGGCTGAGCCACCTGGGCCCTGCCGTGCTGCCCCCCTCCCTCCACGTGGGGTGGGCTCGGCCCTCGGGGGCACCGGGAGGCAGGGCTCGCGTGGTCAGGGAGCTCTGGGCACAGCAGCGTGGAGTGGGTCTCGGTGTCCAGCTCCACGGGCACCTGAAATCCAGCACAGTGCAGGCCGTGAGCCAGGCCCCTGGGCTGCACGGAGAGGCCCTGGGAAGGGGCCACGCGGCAGACGCCCATGGGGCCAGCTGGGCCTGGACGGCAGCCGGGAGCAGCAGCCCTGACCTCTAGCAGGGGACACGCAGGACAGGGGGAGCAGCTGTGTCCCTGGGGAGGAGCAGGGCAGGGCAGCGGGGCCGGGGGTGCTGCCCCACGGGGCCCACGAGGCCTCCCTGTCCAGGCACACTGCAAGCTCCTGGCAGGTGTGGGGAGGCCCCGCGGCAGGGCTGGCGGGGGAGTGGCGTGTAGGGTCTCAGTTTCCTGGGGCTGCCCCATGGGTGACCCCGGATGCATCCTCTCTGGGTTCAGTAGCCAGGAGTGGGAAACCACGGCGCCCACGGGCTGGCTCCCTCCCAGGCTCCCGGGGGACGCTGCTCTGCCTGTCCAGCTGCGGGGTTGCTGGCCGCCTGGCAGGTGCCTCACTTCCACCTGTGCGTCTGCTGTCCCTTGCTGTGTCCCTGGAGGGCGCTGCCCCGGCCTAGTCTGCCGTCCACCAAGGCGTCCACGCGTCCACCCAGACCCCCTTCCCACTCTCCGAGCTCCCGGGTGTGCGTGCACCTCTGGGGGACAAGGTCAGCATTCGTGGGGGGCAGCTCCCGGGGTCCTCACCACCTCCTGGTGCCCCAGGGGTGTCTGGGAGGGTGGTGGGGAATGCGGGGCCCTGGGATTTAGTGCCGAGGGCAGCTGAGTGTGGAAGGTTCGGGCCCGACTCGTGCTCCCGGAAGGCTGGGGGAACTCGGGGTTCCCGTCGGCATATGTGCTCGGCTCTGCGGGGACGGCCTGGCCTTGACCCTGGAGCCGGTCTTCAGGTGAACCCTGCCCCGCTGTCCGGGCCAGCTGGGAGGGGCTGCAGGAAGGCCCCGCGCCCCGGCCACCCTCCGCTTTCCTGCCTGCTGTTTGCTTTTCCTCTTCCCGCCTGGCGTTGGCCCGGTGCCACGGCGTGGGAACTGACCCAGCGGCGTCCCGGGCTCTGGCTCCGGCTTCCTCCTCGGGGCCAAGTCACATCAGCCGTGAACGCCTGCAGTGGGACCTGCTGTCCCCCCACCACCTCTGCTCCTGCCTCTGTCCCCCGCCCCACCTCTGCAGGTCCCTGGCAGCCTGGGTCATGTCCAGACTCACACGGGTCTGTGCACAAAGGCACAGGGGACCAAATTGGGGTCCTCTGCCCCTGGGCTCCTGAGGAGGGGCCCCCGGGACCTCTGTGCCCGAGGAAGTCCCTGGCGTCTGGTGCTGAGCCCACCCAGCTTCCTGGTCCTCGGGGAGCGATGTCCACGCCCTCACCCAATCCGTCTGGTGCCTGCCGGGGGCCTGGCAGAGGTTCCTGGATGCCCCGGCAGCATGAGCCCCCCCAGCAGCCCCTCACGGGCTGGCCAGGCGAGAGCATGCCACACTTGTTGCCCCAACAGCATTGGCCCTGGTTCCAGCGGCCGTCGGGTCCCTGAGTAGGACCCGCCTCCAGGTCTGCAGCACTGAGGCCCTGTGACCCCCAGGCCAGGCCACTCCTCCCTGCCGCCCCCTGACCTGGACCCCATCCCTGTGTCCACCAGGGAGACCCATTTGGAGAGGGCTCCCAAGGCTCCCCTGTGGCTGAGGAGCTGGTCCACACCCCCGGCTCATGCCCACCGCCAGCATCAGCCCCTGGGGTGCAGGAACACAGCGCGGCCCCCTCCCCCCATCACCAGGACCCTGGGCTGCTGAAGACCTAAAGATGACTCAGCATCCAGCTAGAGGGTGACTCAGCATCCAGCAGACGCACCTTGGGAGCCAGCAGCGGCAGGGCCAGCCCGGGCAGTGGCTGGGGGGCTCCGGCTTGCCGGTGCTTCCGTGCCAGGAGTGCTCATGGGTGAGGGTCTTGCCAGGGGCTCCCTGGTCAGTGCCAGTGCTGGTTCCTCCCCAGGTTTCAGATGCAGGGAGGAGGGGGCTGCATCCCCCCAGACCCCACCCAGACCCTTCTGAGGTCACCTGCAGGCCCGGCCAGCCCGGTGCAGCACAGCCAGGCCTGCCCCTCGGGGAGCCGACAGAGGGAGGGGCTCCTCTAGACGTCTGGGGGCCCCGCATGCCCCTGGGCCCACCTCTCACGGAGGCCCCCGGAGTGGAGGAAGCAGAGAGGACCCCTGCTCTGATGTGAGCCACACAGCAGAGGGGAGAGGGAGAGGGACGTGGCCCTGGCCTCCGTGGGCAGCGGGACCCCCGGGACACCCGCTGGCCTTGCCCAGGCGCATGGGCAGGGGTCCACTCTGAGGCCGGCTCTGAGCAGGGCCTGGGCTCCCTCTGTGACCTTAGCCGTGTGTTCACAGCCTGCGGGGCTGGGTGGTTTGTTCCGCCTGACCTACCCGGGGGTCACCCCACTGCCCACCGGCCCCAGCAGAGGAGGTGAGGCCTGGCCCCCCCTTTGCAGGACCTCCCACCCCTGTGGGGAGGAGGGGACAGGGAGGAGGGATCCCTGCCCCAGATGAAGCTGAGGCTGTGAGCCAGGCCGCCCTCACCGTCCGGCCAAGCGCAGGCCGTCTCCCCGCTCAGACTGAGAGAAAGCAGCTGGCGCCAGGAGGCGGCTGGCCCCGCCAGGTGCACGCCCCGCCCTGTGACGGGTCTCTGCATCCATCGTGTGCAGAGCACGCGTGCACCCTCCCTCGACTCCCTCGGGGAGCCTCTCTGCCCCCTCCCCGTGTCCTGCGTGGTCCCCCTCCCCCGCCCCCACCCCAGGCAGACGTCACTCATCCCGCTGGGAGGCCGTGGCCCCAGCTCGGGAGCTCCTTCCTCAGTGGTGAGTTCTGCCAGGTGTGGCGTCCACCGTGTCCTCTGGGTGGGGTCCCCGCCGCTGTTTGCCAAAGCCATGACGGTGGGGGGGGTGGCCCTGCTGCTGGCGGCCGGGTCGCTGACCCCCAGACCGAGGCTGTGGCTCCTCCCGTGCCCGGCCCCCAGGACCGCGAGGATCAAGTTTGGGGTTTGTAGCCTCACTCTGGTTGCACAAAGAGAACTGGGTGAGCCCAGACCTGGACACAGGCTGCCGGCTGATGTGGCCTCCGGTCCTCGGCTGCATCGGGGCTCCTGGGGAGGGCGGGGCCTGGGGGTCAGGCTTCCGGGCTGCCACCTGCTCCCTTAGGGTCGTGGCCACTTGGGGCCGGAGGCCCTCAGGGCAGGGGCCACCTTCAAGCTTCTCCCTCCCAGATGTCCGCAGGTCTGAGCCCTCAGCACCTGGGCGCTCCCTGGGCACACGCGGGGGACTTCCCTGCGTGGACTGGGTCAGGGTGGCTTCTCTGGCGTGCTGTGTCCCCCAGCCCCGTCTCTCTGCTGGCTGGCTCCTCCTCGGGCTGAGGTATGTGCCTGGTGGGAGGAGCCACGCTTGGGTCAGGCGAGGATGAGGCCAGGTGGGACACCCTTGGGTGGCCAGAGCCTGCTGGGGTCCCTCAGAGACCGGGGCAGTGGCTGGGGTGTGGCTGTGACGTGGGAAGAGGCACCTCCTAGGGCCTGCGCCTCCCCTTGCTGGCCGGGGCGGATCCCTGGTCTCCAGCACCCAAGTCAGGGACTCTTGGCTTGGGCACTGGTGCTGTGTGGCCCGGGGCTGTGACCACAAGTCTCTGAGCCCAGTTTCCTCATGAGGCTCAGTGCCCTCCCTCGGCCACTCCGCCCCAGGCAGGAACGAGGCAGCGACACGCGAGCTCACGGAGCCCTGCTGGCCCTGGGCGGCCGGGAGTGGCCCGGTCTCTGCTCTGAGCATCCACTCACCCAGCAGGCACTCCAGGGGGCGTGGGCACAGCTGACTGCCCCGGCCCCCCCTCCCCCTGCAGGGCTGTCATGCTCAGGGCCCTGGACTCCTGCCCCTTTGGGAGGTGCTGGCTGGGCGCTGGCTGTGAGGGCTCCTCCCCGCCCCTCCCCCTCTAGGAAGTGCCTTGGGCTCTGTCCGGTTGCAGAGTCAGGGTTGTCCCCATGCTGGGACTAAGCCTGGCTGGACATGGCCATGGCTGGGGTGGGGGATGCTGCCATTCCCATGGGGCGGGAGGTGGAGGAGAGAGCTGGGCCGGGTGGGACCCTCCCCAGGACTGAGGTGGGGGCAGGGCTTCCCTCGACGCCTGTGTCCGGCCCCATGCGGGCTCCAGGCCTCGACCCCACCCTGTTTTCAGAGCCAGGGGAGGGGCTGGAGCTGTGGGGTCCTGGCCGCTGGTTGGGGCCCCCAGCCCGCCCTGCGCGCTCCTCACTGCCGTCTCTTCTCTCCACAGCCAGGTGCAGTGCTGGCCCCTGCTTCAATGGTGGCCGCTGCCTGCCAGGCTCAGCCCAACCGTGCCGCTGCCCCCGCGCCTTCCAGGGTCCCCGCTGTCAGTACGGTGAGTGGAGCCCAGGGCCGGGCCGGCCTGGGGGCGGTCGTGTGGGGAGGTCCCTGGACGGCAGCATCTGCATGGGGCCCCTAAGGCCCATCCCAGGCTGTCAGGAGAGAAGCCCCCCGGCCGCCGCTCTGCCCTGCGCCCTTTAGGGCAGGAGGCGCTGGCCCCGGGCAAGGCCGGGGTGGCTCCGAGGCCCCCAGGCTGCACTGCCACCTGGTCAGAGCACTCGTCCTGGCCGCTGGGAGCTGGGAATGCCGGCCTCCCCGCTGAGCTGTCGGTGGGGTAAGCTGAGGCACACGCCCACAGACCGCGGAAAGCAGCCGGAGCCGTGTGTCCCACGGGGAGGGCACGCGGGCAGCCACAGGCGTGCTGGACGGGCAGGAAGCCCACCGCACGGGATACGTGATCTGTCCAGAGATGGCCCGGGCGGTCACTGTGTCTCCACCTCGTGGTTTCCGCTCAGTCCCTTGTCCCTTTGTCACAGCCTCAAGGGACACCCTGGGAACGAGCGCCTCCCAGTGGTGTGCGGGCCCCGGGCCTGCTTTGGGCGGGCAGCTGGGCTGGACGGGGAAATCCGAGGAAGCCGGGGGCAGGCGGGGGGGCCTTGTGCTCAGGAAGGCCCTGTGACTCGCTAGTCCCTGCGTGGTGATGTGTGGTGGCCGCTCCTGTGAGGCCCACTGAGCTAGGGCCTGAGGGGCGCCAGGAGCCTGGGCCGCTGACCCCACGCGGGGGGCCCTGCCAGGCTGACCCTGAGTGGTGCTGCTTCCTGGCTCCAGGTGCTGGAGGGTGGCTGCACAGACCGTGGGCCAGGCCTGTTCCCCGTGATGGACATGTGACGGACACAGATGGGGTCCACGAGGGCAGGGGGCTGACGCAGTCCCAGGCCGTGGGCCGGGCCTGTTCCCCGTGATGGACTTGTGACGGATGCAGGCTGGTCCACGGGGAGCAGGGGGCTGACACAGTCCCAGGCCGTGGGCCGGGCCTGTTCCCCGTGATGGACCTGTGACGGATGCAGGCTGGTCCACGGGGAGCAGGGGGCTGACACAGTCCCAGGCCGTGGGCCGGGCCGGGCCTGTTCCCTGTGATGGACCTGTGATGGACGCAGGCGGGGTCCACGGGGGCAGGGGGCTGACACAGTCCCAGGCCGTGGGCCAGGCCGTGCCTGTTCCCCGTGGTGGACCTGTGACGGATGCAGGCGGGGTCCACGGGGACAGAGGGCTGACACAGTCCCAGGCCGTGGGCCGGGCCTGTTCCCCGTGGTGGGTCCCCTGTGACAGATGCAGGCGGGGCCATGGGGAGCAGGGGGCTGACACAGTCCCAGGCCGTGGGCCAGGCCGTGCCTGTTCCCCGTGGTGGACCTGTGATGGACACAGGCGGGGTCCATGGGGAGCAGGGGGCTGACGCAGTCCCAGGCCGTGGGCCGGGCCTGTTCCCCGTGGTGGGTCCCCTGTGACAGATGCAGGCGGGGCCATGGGGAGCAGGGGGCTGACACAGTCCCAGGTCTCCGCCCCCTGGGAGCTGCAGGTGTGGCTGTTGGGGACTCCTGCGCGGTGCTCCTGGGCCGGGCAGGGCCTGCCCCAGGCTGTTCTGTCTGCGAATGAGAAAGAATTCAAGGTGAGCAGGGAAACCGAGTCAGGCCAGCTCCAGAGAGAGGATGGACAGAGACAGCGCGAGAAAGACCCCACATCAGAACCCCCCCCCCCCAGGTTGTGCTGCTACACTCCGGAGGCAGAGGAGGTGGTGCTTAATTGAATATTCAAAAGGGGAGGAGTTTGGGGACAGGGCCTGAGTGCCGCTCATCTCCTTGCCGGGTTTTGGAAATAGGACAGGTGTCATGGCCAGGTGCGTGGTGGGCGTGGGAGGCCCGGCCGGGGCAGTTTTGTTGTCTCGACTTCACAAGGCAGAGACGCATCCTGCGGCCTCACTGGCCTAAGTCTGCAACACCGTGGGACTCGCACTTTCTGCTACGCTGAAGGACTGGGGGCAGGGGGCTTGGGGCAGGGGAAGCAGGTGTGGGTGGTACACTAGTGGGAGTGTTGGGTGGTGTGGGGCAGGGCTGTCGAAGCACAGGGCAGCCGGGCTGTCCGACCTCAGCTCCCGTCTGGTCTTGGTGGGCTCAGTGCTGCTCCCTCCCCCGCCCGGGGAAATGCCAGGGCCGTCCACGACTGGGCGGGGGAAGCTCCAGGCCCTTGGGCGGGGGCCGGTCCTGGCTGTGGGGTTGGCAAAGCAGACCTGAGGGCCGGACCTGGGGGGCGGTGAGTCTGGGGGTGACACAGGTGTTCAGGTGGGTGTGCAGGGTGGGTGTACGGGGTGGGTGTGCAGGGTGGGTGTGCAGGGCTGGTGTGCAAGGCTGGGTGTGCAGGGTGGGTGTGCAGGGCAGGTATGCAGGGTGAGTGTGCAGGTGGGTGTGCAGGGTGAGTGTGCGGGGTGGGTGCGCAAGGCTGGGTGTGCAGGGTGAGTGTGCAGGGTGGGTGTGCAGAGCAGGTACGAAGAGCGGGTGTGCAAGGCTGGGTGTGCAGGGCTGTTCATCCCGCCTGCAGCCACCCCTCCCCCAGCTGTCAGCGCACACCTCTAAGTCCCTTCTGGTCCCTGGCGCTTGCTGTCTGGGCCCTGCAGCCCTGGGCTGAAGAAGTGGGAACTCTGAACCCAACCCTCCAATTCTAATTGGTTCCAGAGTTGGAAATAAAAGCCATATTTTTCTGGTTCCCCTGGATTCTTCCATTGAGCAAGAGCGGGGGAGGGGAGAAGTGTCCCCGGCTGCGGACCGTGGTGAACGGTGGGGAGGAGCCCCAGCATCCGTGGCTCCCCGGCTCCCCTCTCCCCTTCCTCTAACCTGCTTCTCACCCCACCCGCCCCTTCCCTGCCCTCACCTCTGTGCCCCTCCCTCCCCCCTGGACCACAAGCAAGCCTGGGCCTGTGTGTGGGAGGGCCTGTGGTTACCTGCCCGTGTTACCGCCTGGATGCCTGTGCTGGCCGAGGGGGAGGGGCAGGGCCTGGGCACAGCACGCACAGGGCCCCCTCCCTCACCCGGTGCAGGCCCTGGGCGGTCAGAGCCGCCATCGGTGACCCCAGGGAAGTGTGTTCAGGCCCTCCCCCCAGTCCCCGCTCCGGTCAGGGCCGTGTCCCGTGCAGTTGAGTGAGGCGGGGGCCGCCGTGCGGTCGCACGGTCCACTCTGGGTTTTCCCTGGTTCTTGGGGTGGCCACCTGCACGAGCCGCCCCCACGGGGCCTCCCCCTGCACTGCCGGCCAGCAAAGGAGGGCGGGGGCCTGGGTGGGCTCCGCGTCTTGGCGGAGTGCGGCCCCCGAGCCTGGCGGGGCTCCCTGCCCTGCGTGGCGCTGGTGCTGAGGGATCCTGGTGAACCCTGGCAGTGACCTCTGGCCGTGGCCGGGGACGAGGGCAGGCCTGTGGCCTCAGCCGCCTCTGGGTGCTTCCCTGGTCCGAGAGGCTTCGTCCCTCCTTTCCTCACTGTGGAGCGGGCAGGTCGGGCCAGTCCCCGAGGGGACTCCACACTCAAGGCCTGGACCCCTCTCCCTGGCCAGGGCAGCACTCAGGGAGCCAGTGTTCCCCAGTCGAGGCTGCGTGGTCCTGAGGGCTTCCTGGAGGAGGTGGGCCTGTGGGCCAGGGGAAGATTTGAGGGGGTGCCGGGGGTAAGGGTGATTTCCAGAAGGGAGGGGCTGGAGCAGAGAGGAGGCAGGGATCGGGCAGGGGGGTGGTCCAGCTGGAATCGCCAAGGGCCCTGGGCTCTCTCAGGAGGCCAGGCGGGGCCTGCCTGGGGCTGGCCTGGCAGGTGCACCTGGTCTCGATGTGGCTCTGCCGCCAGCTGGGACAGATGTTGGCTCTGCCCAGAGCCTTCGAAGGGGTCTCTGACTCCTCTACCCCAGCAGGGGGCCTGTGACGGGCCCGGGTCCTTCGGGAGTGGGCTCGGGGTGGCTGTGGCAGCCGATGGGGCGCTGTGGCTTCACCAGAGAGCAGGACCCCAGGAGCAGGGTGGTGTCCCTCGGCGAGGGCACAGGAGCAGGGCCGCAGGGTCCTCTCGGGCCTGGCTGTGGCTCCAGGCGCCTGTTTCTAAACTGGTGCTGATTGCTTAATGGGGAGAACGCGGCCCTGCCAGCTGCCCCTCTGTGCCGCCCGCGGCGTCAGAGGGTGGGAGCCTGGCCCCATGCCCAGCTCCGGACACCACCCAGGGTGGCTCTTGGTGCCCTGCCATGGCCGGGCCTGGGAGCCGCTGTGGCTGGCCTTGGGTGGGGGGACGGGACAGAGCCAGGCCTGCTTTCCGCTGGAGGAGCCGGGGCAGGGCTGGGGCTCCTGGGGGACACGGCGTGCCTTTCTCCCCTTCTCCACCTGGAGTAAGAGGCCCCGCTGGCTGGAGCCCGGGCTGCTGCAGCCGGGCGCCTCTCCCCGTGCGGCGGGCCACGGGGTCTCCATACCAGGCCTGCACCAGCGGCTGCCCCAACCTGGGCAGGTTCTGCGGGCAGCAGCTCAGCTCCTTCTCTGGGCTGTGGGTCCAGGCCCCGGCGCCGTTCCCTGCGCCCACATCGCAGTTAGGCCGAGTGGAAGGCTTCCCATTGGGGACGGAGCTGTGTTAGCCGGAGGCCCCACCAGGGGCAGCTCTTTGTGTCTGGTGTGGGAGAGGACCCCGGCCATCCTGGGGGGCTAGGCCACACCCGGGAGGACCCAGCACATCCAAGAAGGACCCAGCACCCCAGCAGAACCCAGCACCCCGGGAGGACTCAGCACATCTAGGAGGACTTAGCACCCCTGGGATGACTCGGCACACCTGGGAGAACCTAGCACACGTGAGAGGACCCAGCACCCTGGGAGGACTCAGTACATCCAAGAAGGACTCAGCACACTGGGAGGACTCAGCACATCTAGGAGGACTCAGCACACTGGGAGGACTCAGCACCCCTGGGAGGACCCAGCACGCCCAGGAGCCTTGCTCTCTTGGTCTTGGTTTTCTGCTCCAGTCCCAGCTGAGTGGGGCCGCTGAGCGCAGTGGCGC